GGAGATGTCGTACACCTTTGTGTTGGGATGAGGTTGGCATGGCCAAACTCGAGAGCACGGAACTGGTGGAGATCACCAAGTCAAAGGTGAAGATGATTCGTGAGAGACTTAAGGCGGCACAGGATAGACAGAAGAGCTATGCCAATAAGCGTCGAAGAGCCTTAGAGTTTAAGGTTGGGGATGAAGTATTTTTGAAGGTTTCACCTTGGAAAGGAATCATCCGATTTCAGAGCCGAGGGAAACTTAACCCACGCTACATAGGGCCATTTGTGATTCTTGAAAGAATTGGGGCCGTAGCATACTGATTACAGTTGACTCCGGAATTGGAGAAGATACATAATGTATTCCATGTGTCTATGCTTAAGAGGTATATTCCGGATCCATCTCATGTACTAGAGAAATCACCCGTGGAAATACGGGAAGACTTGAACTACGCCGTGCAACCGGTAAGGATACTTGATAGGCAAGTAAAGAAGCTAAGAAGCAAGAAAGTTCCAATGGTTAAAATCCTTTGGAAGAGTGACCGAGTTGAAGAAGAAATTTGGGAGACTGAAGCCTCGATGAAGGAACAGTATGCATTTCTGTTTGAATAATCGTTGTGAATTTCGGGGACGAAACTCCCGTTAAGGGGGAATGAACTTATGACACCGTCCCCAAGCATGTTTACTTTTAGTAAATTATGTAGTACACCTTGAAGGATGATTTATGAATTTACGTAATTATTAAATTTTATTATTTCTTTTACGTGAATAGTAAATTGCATGTGGGGCCCACAGCGGGAACGGGGACCGCCCGATAATTCCAGAACCACATATTATATTCGTCTTGGTCTAGATGACATCTATATGGTGGTGGATACTTTATTTTGACCATAGAAGGGGCATGAAGTTGACCGGTTGGTCAAACAGGGCCCAATTACCGGTATTGGTAATTTAGCGGATAATAGCCCGAAATGAATTTCGGAGACTCCTCAATTAATGTCGGGGCATTTACATCTATTCTAAAGGCCTATAACTAATAGGAACGTGTGATATATTTTATTTGTCCCGATAAAATAAAATATAACCAAAACAGTCCGAGAAATACAACTTTCGGGGCCGATTGTACACATCGGGACATAACAGGATGACCTCCCACATAAGTGGGGGCCACCCCAAGTTTTTAGGTGTGCTAGCTGACTAAGTAAGGGCTGGGGGGACACGCCAAAATGGATTGTGCGGACAAGAAAAGGGGAGGAAGTCTCATTGAGACAAAACCTCATGCCAATGCCTCATTCTAGGCATTATTGGTGTTCTTGATTGAGGAGAAGCATCCCCACTATCCCTTGCAACTTTTCGGCCAACCCAGAGGGAAAGAGAGAGCTCCAGCAACTCCTCATCAAATTCAGGCTTGGAGGAAGTAAGAGGCAAGCAAATTCCAGTAGAAACTAGCTAGGAAAAAGGTAAGGACTCAACTATCTTCTTTTAACTAGTTTTATGGTGTATGATTTGTAAGAAATCATATGGTGGGTTAAACCATGAGTTCTACACGTTTAAAAGTGTAGAATATTGTTATAAAGTAGTGGCAATTAACTTAGAAGAGTTGGTGAATCGATAGGAGTCGAAATCGCCGGAAACCGCCACTCTAAAGGAGTTGTTCGTAGTTGCAGGCTACGAAAGCCGCCCGGCTTTCGTGAAAGCCGCTCGGCTTTTGCCCAGCAGTCCACTTATTCGTTTTCAATCAGCCTAGAACGGGGATTGATTGAAGAGCTTAACAAAGGCAACTATTTCAGCACATCATAAGGTGAGGATGGCCGACTATATTGCTTATAATTAGTGAGTTAATTTCATGAGATTACCTAAGGTAATTAAATGTGTTTTTATGAATTATTAATGATTAATAATGCCTAAGAATGAGAAGACTAATGTCTATAAAGAAAAGGAGCATGATATACAAATTTAAGAGTAAATTGTGTATGATCATGTGTTATGAGTATGTTGACTTGAAAGTGGAATTAATTATGAAACATATGTTGAAATATACTTTTTACTTCATATTTGAATATATGAGTGATTAAAAGTGATATTTTGAATATTGAGATAAAGGATATTTTCAATGGAAAAATCGGTTGGAATTGGCTATATGACTATGAGTTAAGAACTTGGTTTATTGGAATTAATTTGGCTAGTATTAAGATACTAGTTGGACATTAAAAATGAAATGTTGTTAAGATTGATCCTAAGGTTGGATTGTGAAATGTTATGCCTTAAGTAGTCTTAAGAGATGCTTTAAGGTAGGAAAGTATGAACTTTAAGTTATACTAGGGGTAGGCCTTAAGGGATACCCAAGATAAAGTAAATAATAAATTGATCCTAGATATAGGATTGGCCTACGGGTGTGTTCGGTAGTCTTTGAGGATAGCCGGTTGAATTATGGAAATAAGTAAGGACCATGGCCCTTCCCGACTCTAGAGAGCGGGGTTGGATAGCATGGACTTGCATCGTGATCACCGGTTAGGGTGGAATCTGAATCGGAGACGTAACTAGGTTCCGGTAGCGGTAACACATAAGATAGGACCCCGAAGAGCCTTACCTTCCTACGAGATGATGGGTATGAGTCCAGGGGCGGGATGTTGGAGTCCGAACCGAGAGCCTCATGAGGTCTCGGACAGCGGTAGCAAGTCCCGTAGAAATAATAAGACCCAAGGGTTGAGTTGTGCAAATGATAAATGAAAAGAAATATATAAGAAGGGCCATGTTCCGACATATAAATGAATTTACTTATTATAAGGATAATAAGTGGGAAATATAAATTATTATTTATATTATGATATCACCCTATTTTGAGGGTCTTCGAAATTAAAACGTTGATTATACTTAGTATAGTTGTCATTGTATTTGTCAAATGCTTCCAAGTACTGATCTCCCCTTCACGGGAGAGGCCACCTCACAGTTTCAGGTAGAACTTGAAGGTTGCTACCATCGCCCGTTGCACCGGGAGGATCAAGAGAAGAAGACGTGGTTCGTGTTTCTCCTGTTTTCTGATTTCAAAACAATTATAATAATGCTCATGGATATTATTTTGAATAATTATTTGGGGGCTTGTATGCCCATGTTTGCCAAGGTGTGGCATAAACACACATATTAAATGTTTCCGCTGCTTTAAGTAAATGTTTTGAATTATGATTGTTTATGGATGTACTATGTGTGAATGGTATTCAAGACGCCTTGTATAGTATAGATGAGTGGATTGCGGTTGACTATTCGTACTGTACAGCGGGTTATTGACGTGTCCGGGTAGGTCCGGGGCGTGACAATTTAATTGGTATCAGAGCCTTAGTCCGTAAACATCATAATGAATCTTCAAAATTCTTTTTGAAATGAATTTGAAAACCATGAGCATAAAGTTTTGTACTTATAGAACTTTTGGTACTTGAGTTGCAATGTCTCTAATTGTTAAGATGGTACCCTTAACAATTGGTATGACGGTGATTTGAGCCAAAGGATGTTTTTAAGTGCCTTTCCGTCAATTGATATTTGATACGAGTCTAATGACTCATTCTCAATTTCTTTTCAAAATGGAACGTACCGGTAGAATCACTCGAAGGAACCCGACTGGCTAGGCACCGGAGAGGTCCCAACATGGCAATCGTGGGGCATCGAGGGTGTCTCGGGGGCAGGGCCGTGCAAGCCACTCGTTGACCGTGAGTGACGGTCATGTGGAAACAATAGACGAGCACTGTGAGTCCGAGGAGGATTCAACTTACCAACCGGGAACCGAGTCGGTTGAGACCCCATATGATGGTGAGTACGACGATGCTAGTGACGAGAGCGATGATAATGAAGCTCTCGAACGGATTGAGGAGAATATGACAAATTGACCATGTCAAATTCAGTGTGGTTTTACTGGTATCACACAAGTTAATGCATGTAATGAGTACTACGTATAACATTTTTTATACACACTTTTTTCTTCTAACATTTGAGACATCTTTTTTAGTGCTAGACGATACAACATTATGAAAGGATTTGTTTTTTTTTTGTGATCAAAATATTAAAGGATTTTCTAGTCAATCAGTGTGTCATTAAAATGCACATCAAGATGAAATTTGTTTTGTGTTCAAGATGCTATTATTGCTTGTCCGGCATTGTAAACCACAGTGTGCAGAACAGCAGAAGTGAAATTAAACCTAGGGTGAGTAATACAAGGTTCAAGTGTTAGACTTAATTGAAAGAACCTCGATAGTCTAGCTATTAAAAACACTTCAAAACCCATATTAACTCCTAAGTTATTGAAATTAAGGATGTTTTTACTTGGACTGTAATTTGCTGGTTTGGTCTAGTCTGGTCCGGTCTAAAATTATATATATATATATATATATATATATATATATATATATATATATATATTATAATCCATAAATAATTATATTTTATTCATTTATAATTAAAAATAATAATATTCCTTCCCAATTATCGAAAATTGTTATCGTTTTAATTGGATTGATTTCAATCCCAGACTGAAGCAGTTCATACAAATACAGAACAATAATAAAATAGTACAAGTATTAATTAATAATAACAACAATAACAACACTACTACTAATAATAATAATACTAATAATAATAGTAGTAGTAGCAACAATTATAGTAATAATAGTAATAGTACTACTACTACTAATAATATACTCCATCCGTCCCGCTAACAATGGGACAAGAGGAATGACAAGAGGAAGTGACACGCAAATTAATAAAAAATGGTTTATGTTGATGATATTGAATTGATAAAGTAAGAAGAATAAAGTAAAAATGATTTAGAGCCACACAAACTTTACTAAATTTGGTATGAGACAAAATTGCAATGGAGTAATTTGGTTTATGTTGATGTACCGATAGTGTAAAAATGAGACAATAATAGCGGGACGGGGTAGTCGACCTGTAAATTTAAGAGGCCAAAAACGAGCATTTAGGAAAAATTAAATGGGATTAGAGATAAATTTTAATTTTGATATTGGTACTCGATCAATTTCTGCCTTCAAATATTTCTCTCATTTTTTATATTTTCTTATAAAGTAAAACAAATTGCAATGATCTCATTCGGTTGGAATACGAATTTCAAATAAGAAAACGCAATAATTAATGGCTTCAGAGTAAAACTGAATAAAGAATTTATTAGTATTATGATCCCAAAAATAACAAACGAATGAAATGAAGGAATTTGAACTCCCATCCGATCCAAACATTACAAATCCAACCATCATGATTATTGGATTATACACACCAAAAGAAAAGATAAATCAGAAAAAGGCCCTCCATGAAGCCCGCCCGTGCGCTGAAGGAGAGAGCTGCCGCGCCGGTGGTGGGGGGGACTGCCGGAAGGTCATCCAGAGCAGGTGCGGGAGCGGGCGCCGGAGACGCTACCTTCCCGGCGTGCTTCTCAGATAGAACCACCACGGTCAACTTCAGCCCCTTCTTGCAATTCTCCTCCGAGCCACTGATGAAGTAGAATGGGCCAGAGTGGTCCAACAAAACACTGGCGTTGAGCCCACTCTGTGAACTAATAGCCTTGGATGCGTCGCACCGGTCGTACTCCTCTTTCCCCTTCACTTCCACCACCTTGTCCCCTTCTTTCTCGGATTTCCACACTGCAAATTACCAGAAGTCATTAAATTTAAATACACACGAAAATTCTCGAGAAAGAGTACGTTTTTGTTTCGGTACTCTACGAAAACTCTTCAAACAAGCGTTTTTTCAGCAAAAGATGACGTTTCCCGTTTGTTCATGAATTTTGCGCTTCCGTGCAACATAGATACACACATTCCGATAAAAAATTGAAAATAAAGAAACAATATTTACGAACCTAGAGTGTCTCCCACGACGAAGCGGGCTTTTTCGGCCCACGTATTCAGAGAAGCAGAAGAAGGAACTGCCCAGGTGTTATTTTTGCCGCCGACCACAAGCGTTCTGGCTTGTGTGCACCCAAAGAGAAGGAAGAACAGAGCAGCTGCTACTAGCCCAGAAGAGTAAGAAGAAGACATCATATTTGCTATAAAAAAAGAATGGACTTTTATATAATAGTCGGGGAAGGAGCTTCCAAGAAGAGGAATGTTTATATAGCTCTCAAGAAATTAAAGTTGCTTTCAGAGATGAGATGAGAATGCTCAGTTGGATCTGGATGAGAACCTGTGTGAGGGGAGTGGGTATATATATAGATATTAGATACACATAGCGAAGAAGGCGTGGACTGTGGTCAAACTAGCCGTTTTTTTAATTATGGTAGAAAATAGCCGTTGGACAGTGCAGGTGCGTGTTGTAGCTGAAAAGCGTGCCTTATGTTGTGGGAATCTGCAACGGTCATTTGCCAATTCAGCGGTCAACAGTCAAAGGCGTGCGTTATTATTATCTAATCCGACAACTTCGATACCTTTCTAAAAAATGGAGAATCGTACATATCATTCATTTGATTGGACCACATTACTTTATTATTTTTAATTTAGATTTAAATAATTCAACTACTACATTTTCATTGGTCCATATGGACGAAGCTATGGTACCTTATGGGTACCATAGAATCTACCCTAATCTAATTTAATTAATTTAGTTGTGAAGTAAAAAAACGTGCCATTATTTAATGAAAATCATATAACCTGACGGAGATAATTGAATTAATTAATGTTCCTATAAACTCAAAATTAACATCTAATATTTTTACGACTTTATTCGGTAAAAGATTAGAACACATTATTTTAGTACAGCAACAATTGAATATCATTTTTAAGTATTTCATCTATATAATCTTGATGGATAGTATACCCGGGAGGTAGCTTATCCGAGGGTTATTGCGGGGAGTAACAAGAGAGAAGTCAGAGCAAGTAAATATAGAGAGAGAAAGTATATTATGAGTGTGGAGCGTTTTCAGCGTGGTTACAAATGGGGAAATGGGGTGCTATTTATAGTAGCAATAAATGCCGGACAGGGACACGTGTCAAGCGCCCATTGGCCGAGAGGTCACCTCAACTAGTTGGTGCTGGCAGCCGCATGTGGCCGCATTTAATGCGACTGTTGGATGGGACGTTGTACAGGGTACGGTGATCTGTACGCATGTGGCGCGGATATTATGTCGGGAGAGGTGCCCTCGGCTGCGGAGGACTAGCCGAGGGCTCTGAGCGCCGGGGACCCCTGGGTGCCGAGGGCTCCAGGTGCCGAGGGCTACTGTTTTCTGCCGTTTTTCCCAGTTTCTTAGTTTGCTTGAGAAACCCGTCCTGTGAGAGTTTAGAGCCTTCGGCCAGGGGGCCGAAGGCACCCCTGGTGCGCCTTGCGGGCTGCTTGGTACTCTGGGCGCTGTGATTTGGGCCTGTTGGGCCTTCTGGGCCTGTTGGGCCTTTACTGGAGTAGTAGGAGTCTGTGGGCCGGGTGTTCCCGGGCCATATACTCCATCAGGAGTCCCTCACTCCTTTTGCCGAAAGGTACTTGAGGGAAAAGGAGTAATTTGTGTTTGTCCCCTGCTGTCATTCCGTTGTAATCCCTGAGGTTGGTGAGGAGTTGTTGCTTGCATGTCCCTGCCGAAGGCAATCCCTCAGTTACCCACATGTCGGGACTTGAGGGCTTGCTTTGCCGTTTGTTGGGAATTTTCACCATTTTGTAATTTTAATGATTTTCCCGAGGGGGTCCTCCAGTCCCCCACTCCTTGAGGCACTTGTAAAGTGGTGAAAAGGAGTAGAGTAGTTGCGTTCGTGTTGTGGGCCGAAAGCTGACGCTTTTCGTTTCATTTTCGGGGGATGCCTCGTTAAAAACCTTATTAGGAAAAACCCTGGGGGGAAAATCCTAATGAGGGAAAAAGAGTGCACCGAATTCCCCCAACGATGAATCGAAAATGTGAAACCTTGGTCAAAAATGGAGAATAACGGTAATGCCGAAGGCTCTCCTTGTTCTGAGGGCTCATGTGTTGATTAGCCGAAGGCTTGCTGTTGATGTCCTGGGGGGTGCCGAAGGGAGCCCCTCAATCTTGGGATCGAGAGCGTGATGGATGAGGGCAGTAGTCGAATTGTCACCGGGGTGTCCCCTGCTTGTTGGTTAGTTGATGAGGAGGATATCCGGGGGCTCCCACTACCTGTGTGCTGTAGGCTATCCGTCAACGAGGCATACTCCCCGGGGGCTATTCGGCCCTTACAGTGCTGGGGGGGAATCCCCGAGGGGTGGCCTGATATGAAGCCTTGGGCTTCTGGAGGAGTGATCCCGAAGGCGACTGTTATGTACTGTGTGGGGCACAACCCGGGGGCGTCTCTGGGTAAGTGTACCCGGAGGCTCCCCTTGATGAAGTGGAGTGAAGTAAGAAAATCCGGGGGCTCCCAGAATATAGCCGTTGGAAATATAGCCGTTGGAATATGTAACGTCAGGTTGTAGCCGTTGGGGGGGGGGGGGGGTACACGTGGCGCGTGGCGGTTGGCTGTCCGTGGGCGGCGTCACCGGTTGGGTGAAAACACGGTGCGTAATGATGACGGTCCGTCCGGAGGCCCGGTTCCCGGGCCCAAGCCCGGATTCCAGCGCCTATAAATACCTCAAGGCCAGGCATTCCTCCTTGTGCGAAACCTTGTTAGCGAAGCTCTGCCAATTTTTCTAGAGAGAGAAACATCAGCCCTCGGTTGAATCCTCTGTTCTCAAGGTCAGTTCTCCACTTGCCCTTCACCTCTCTAGTTAGTTGTCTTGTGCCCCTAGGCTAGGAGATAGGATTTTTAGAAAACACTAGCGTCTACGAGCCTTCGAACCAGAGATAGAATGTCGTCCCAGAGTGATTCTCAAGACATCTCGGGGGCGCCCTCGATGGAGGATGAAGTTCTTTCGGATATGAAGTCTTCAAACGAACAGTCCTCGGCCCAGGAGGACGTTGTGATGGCAGTAGAGGTGCAGAAGGAGCTGCTGGCTGAAGTTGAAGCCGAGGGCTTCGAGCAGGAGGTGGAAGACGAAGAGCTGGCCCTCGCCATGCAAGTTGCAGAGGAGGAGGAAGCAAAGGAGAGGACGAGGGTGACCGTGGCCGTCCTTCCTCCTCGGGGTGCTGGTGAGGCCAGTACCTCTCGGCCGCTGAACGCAGTTCCCATCCGGGTGGCCCCCGGGAAGAAGAAGGCCAAGGTAGCCGCCCCCAAGAAGAAGATTGTTGCTGCCGATCAGGGGAAACCCATAGATATGCCGGAGGGGTATTCCTGGCTCAATACTGCTGCCCTGGAGATAAAGTCGAAGGCGGACAAGGCGGATTTCTACGTCACGCAGCTACACGTAGGGCCCTCGGTCGTGGTGGTCGACCCGGGAGTTGACGATGTGCTGTCTCGGGCGCCCGAGGGGTGTATTGCAGTACACGTACTGTCGGTCTCCATGGGCCTTCGGTTCCCTCTGCACCCCTTCCTCCGAGAGTACCTTAGGTTTGTTGGCTTGGTCCCCTGCCAGCTGACACCTAATAGCCACTCCTACGTGGCGGGCTTTTTGAGCCTCTGCAGGGACCGAGGGGTGACCCCCCAGTCTGGACTTGTTCTTCCAGAGCTTTAACCTCTGCCGAGGGGGTCACGCGAATGCCGAGGGCTTCGCCAACCTGCAGCAGATAGCTAGGTGGAAGCTATTTACGAAGGCGCCTTCGTCCAATAAGGGCTGGAAGGAGCGTTGGTGCTATGTCAGAGTTGCTGAGAACCCATTTCCGGCGGAACTTCGGGATCGCTTCCGTCGGCATCCGAAGGTTGGAAGCGCCACTCTCGAGAAAGATGGCCTGGTAATAGCCAAAATCCCGGAGGGTCGCACGAAGCAAGTGTCTATTAAAGATTACACTGCCGACAAGGAACTCTACGCCCTCGGCTTTCGGAGATACCGCTTCATCAGGGAAGCGGACGAGAAGTATCCCGTTTTTGCTGAGGCCTTCGGGGGAGCAGGAGGTAGTCTACGAGGGCCCTTAGTCTTGTACTTAGGCATTCTTATTTTACATCCCGATAGTTGTTTGTTGTATGAATCCTTCGGGTTAATCTTTTCTTTTCATTGTTTTGCAGGTATGGAGGCTCTTTTTGCAATGAAAAAGAAGGAGAGGGCTCAGGCCCAGAAGAAGGAGAAAAAGGAGCCCTCGGGCCAAAAGCCCATTGATGAGGTTTTCCCGAAGGAGGCTGCGGAGCCTTCTGTTGATGCTGCTCCTGCTACTGTGGCCGGGGGGCCAAAGGCCGAGGTGGCCGCCAAGAAGAAGAAAGGAGGCAAGGGGGTGGAGCCCCCGATCAAGAAACAGAAGGTTGCCGGGGGCACCGTTGGAATGGCGGCCCCCCTCATAGTAATTGATGATCAGCCCTCCGCTGACCCCCCGGCCATTGACACTCCGATGGCTCAAATAGATCTTCCCCCGGAGAACCTGCCTCGGGAGATTATTCAGCTCTCCCTCGCTCCGGGGGCATCTGTGTTGCACGGTTCAGCTGAACCGATGTCTTTCCTGAGGGGGATTACCTCGATGATGGATAAGGAAGCCCTCTCCACCTACGACGACGACGCCCTCGAAAGCAAGGCCCTTCGATCATCTCTGGCTGTAAGTATTTTTACTTTGCTTTTATCTTAACACTTAGTATATTCCCAATGCCCGTCTGAACCCATTGTCCGTTATTCAACAGGCGTGTATAACCTTCGGTGAGCAGGCCCGAAGGCGCGAAGAGTGGCGCCGTCATAAGGCCGAGCTAGAGAAGTCCATGAAGGAGCTGATCCATGACAAGGACGCTTCCCTCCGGGAGGTGTGCAAGCTGGAGGACGCCCTTCGGCAAGCGGAGCTGAAGCTGAAGGAGGCCAGAGATGACGGCAAGGCCGAGGGCAAAGCAGAGGCCGAGAGGGTTGCGGCCGAGGAGAGAAAGCAAGCGGCTGAGGACGCCAAAAAGGCCAAGGCCGAAGCTGTTGTCAAAGCCCGGGAAGAGGCCATCGCTGGGTTCATCTCCGAGGGTTGGAAGGCCGAGGGCCAGAGGGAGTGGGTGGCCTCTGTGGTGAAGGCCTCGATCGAGGAGTGGGTGAAGGGCCCCGGGCTCGACTAGATGAACGAGAGGGGCGACACCTATTATCAAGCCGGCGAGTTCTTCACCCAACATCTGGTTTACCGGAAGCTCGCCCGACATTTCGGCACCCCTCTGGCGGAGTTTGACCCGTCGGTGTACGGCCTCCCCCCGTTGCAGCCAGATGTGAGAGTCCC